TGAAAACAGATATAAACATGCAATACTGGTCAACCAAAGACTCATTGACAGTTTCTTTCAGCATAGAAATAGAAGACAGAAGAACAATCATGTAAAATGTTTTGTATTGATTCCAAATAAATTATCATAGCAAGTGTCACATTGCCCCTGGACTCCACTCTGCAAAGGGACATTTACTTGTGTCCTATAAAACCGTAACTAGTATTTGAACTAACAACTTGTGAGAGGTGATAAAAGGTAACTATTTTGGCCTCTCTTAGTCACTTTAAAATGTATTCAATGCTATTTATCTTCTGTCCACTGATGGAAAGTTAGGTAGAACCCTTGAATTTTCTCCTCATTCTTAGATAACTGATGGTCTGATAGTAACTGTTTCATTGATAGCTTCATTCCAAATTACATTGGGTATAGGACATAAACAAGTATGTCAAACTTCACTTGAAATTAAGCCTTCATCTCCATATTCCCCACCCTATGGTCTATAGCGGGCCTGAAGAGATGCAGTTAGCTTAGGCTTGCCCTCCTTTATCCCTTAGAGCAGCAAAGGTGAATCTTTCAGAGTTTTCAAGGATAACAAACAGTCAGCTGCAGCACACATGCCATAGGTTTTCCACCACTGCCCTAAATGTTGTTTAAGATGCAGCATGGATCCAAGTGGGTAGAGATAGGGAAGAGTGGGAAGAAATGGAATGCTCCTTCCTGGATTTGAGTGGCCTTAAGCTTGCTGTGCTGGCCCATGAAAACATGTGAGTCTTTCTTGGGGTTTTCAGATTTCTTGCTGATGAGGATCTCTGTCCAGGGACTCCTGACCGGGTGGGTACAGCAGTATTCACTAGTTGCCTCTGCTTGCTCCCCTGCACCTAAACCTCCAAGGGCTGCTCCAGCTTCCACTGGCCCTTCAAATGAATCCCAAGGAAAACCTCATACATCTCTTGCCCCAGGGACTCTGAGCAGGTAGGCTTTTCCCAACAGGCCCCTGTGTTGCTGCCACAGAATTGCGGTCTCTGGTGGGCCCACCTGATTTGAGACACATCTCTCTCTCACTGATTTGAGACAAAGAAGCATCACTCCACATTCCTATCTCCAAAAGCACTTTCCCCCCACATCCTCCCCTACCACTCTCTGGCCCCTTATTGTGAGACTCAGTCTGGGCAAAGGGTCCAGAATTGTGGTGAGGTCTGTATGTTTCGTTGTATCCCGTCCCTTTGCGCTCTGCCTCACCTTCACTTGGAACGAAAATTATACAATTACTATCTCAGTCAAAATAGCCTAAAACCCTGTTGTACAGCAGTTACTAGCTATGCTCTTGCACCTAGGGTCTTGTCTAAAGTGACACTGTAAATATGCTACTGGAATCTGCAGCAAGCCGGCCCAAAAGGCCGGGAGATATCTGTCAAGAAAGTCAGAACAGTTGAAAAGGGGGATAAGGGCAGAATTATAGGAACTGAACATTTGAAGCAGTAAAGCTGTGCAGTTTACTTTACTGAAGAACACTAAGTGGGAAAATATTTAGACTAACACACCTGTTATTGTACCTGCGTTCCCCCACAGTTGCCTGGTGGCTGTTTAACAGAATTTTACGTAGGTAGGTTTTGTTGTTGTTTTCGTTTGTTTGTTTGTTTTTCTTCCGGTACCAGGAATTGAACTCACAACCTTGTGCTTGCCAGGCAGGCGCTTTGCTGCTGATCTAAATCCCCAGCCCCAGGTAGGCTTCGTAAATACAATTTTTTTTTTTTTAGAAATAAATGTCAATATATTTTATATACCTTAGAGAGATTAAAGACAAAATGTTACTCATAGTTTCCAAACTGCTTTCATTTGAAACATTTCATTTCTGTTGTCTATTAGGAGTTTAAAATAAGCCCTAAAGATTAATTCAAGGATTATTACCTCAGCTTGAAAGTGAAGGAAGTGGAGATTCAGAGAGGTTAAGGGATCTGTGCATAGACACACAGGGAGTAAAAGATGGTTTTGAGGACAAGTCCAGCCTGCTGTCCTGTCATGGCCCACGTGTAGACACCTTTTCAAGTCAACACTCTTCATCTGTACAAATGAGAGCTACTTCCTAGGTTGTATGGAGCTATAAAAATCAAGCACTTAAGAATGTTTATAGCCATAGAAAATACCTGCAGGATTTCTGGATTTCAAGTTAAGAAGAGAGTTATGGGTGGTAGATTGGGTAATGTTATAATCTTATTCACGCTTGGATGCAAAAGATTCAACAAGATGATAAACTCGTAGATGCCTGTTATCTGCAGACTTAGCTCACAGATTCTACATTGTAGTTTATATCACATATCCCTCATAGTTAACATCTGTCATCTATCTTGATTTATCTATTAGATAGATTCTTGGAAAGCACAGGCTAAATAAACACTTTTATTAATGCTCACAATTCCCCCTAGTGATTTTTATGGCTATACCAGAGATGTGACAAAGAAAAACATTTTTTCTGGAGTGGAATAAAAATCAATTTAGAATTCTAATATTCATTTCAAGACATTCTGTGTTTGCCGGTATGGAATTTCAGTGCTTTTATTATATTTATCATACAGTCCCAGTGAGGAGTTCATCAAATTGATAGCTTATATAATCTTTGCATACAGATTTAAAAACATAAATACATTAAAATGAAACTTGGTGGACATTTACAAAGCAATGAAAATTCACTTCATGGAACTGGACAAACACAAGATTGTGGAATTGAACTAAACCATATCAGCTGAAAAAAAATCATAGGAAAATCTTCTACTTAAGGGGGTTCAGCTCTTACCTATGCACATTCAATGTTATTTTGCCTTCCCACTTCATTCCTACCCCATCACCCCAACCAGGTGCTCCATAGTTCTGAAGCTGTTGACAAGGGTGCTAATGAACAAGTGTCTGTTTAATTCGCAGCTGACTACAAAGAATGCCAACTAGTTAGTGTTTCATTGGAGGAGAGGATATTCTAGATGTTAGGAAATGACTCAACAAGACTTCATGAATTGCTCCATCCTATACACCTGCTTCAGTACCTCTCCCAGGTGAAGAGTCCAACTAAGACAGTCAGAGACCTGCTATTTGTTGAAATCACTCGTGAGATATTAGTGAGTATGCCTTTATCTCTTGGAAGCTTTTGACTGTGAATAGCAAAATATTCCATCAAAAGTTTAAATACCAAGGACGTTTATTACTTTTTTAAAACCATAAGCCTGGAAGTGGACTATTTAGGGTGGTCCTGCAGCTCAGGTCCTGCATGTTGGTCACAGATCCTCACAAGGTCACAGATGGTTATGCCAGCACTTAGCTATGCATTTTCACATCACAGTGCCAAACCGGGGACAAGTGAGCCCCTGACATGGGGCTAAGCTGGGTCCTGTGAGTCTCCTACCAATGTGCTGACATGAGAACATGCCGAACCTGGCACCTGATACCAGTCTTGGAGCACGCAATCAAGTGGCACCACCTGGACCTAATGCTGAAAGGAAGATATTAAAAAGATGGCAGTGGTGGACTTCATGGCCACTGCCCCCCTGTTCTTGCAGTGGCCCATTCTGCTTGCAGGACGTATCTTCACTTTTTCCTTCCAAGTACCTCTTGG